TCCCTCATTGGTACACAATCTCCCCGCACCTCCCCAAACCCCACCCCCTACCCCAAAATATAATCCACTCTGCAACCCTCGTTGCGTACTCCTACTATAAAAATAATGCCCTAAAATATAATACTTTTAGACTATTCTCTCCCCCATAGACTTCAATGCCGTAAACATATTTCATCCACACTGTATTTTTGAACCAGTAGATCTTTTAAGGGAGGTGACAGTCCACTGATCTGGCTAAGAGTCTGATGGATTCAAACCATCAACCTCATGATTAGCATACCTAGCAGGTTCATTTGTGTAACAAGGCTACAGACCACAATTCTCTTTCTAAACTGTAATACAACCTTAAATTAAGATCATATAAAACCTTACCAATATGTAAGATGTTCCTATGAAAATGCACAACTCACTTGAAAGCTTCAAGAATTTTTTTTTCTGTTTTCTTAAAAGAACTGACAATTTATAACTTAAAAGTATCTAAAAAAAATCTTTGGAATAAAACACATACCTGGAAGTTTACAATTCTGCTCATTTTTTTTTAACGAGCTATCACCCTGGGGCCGGTCACACTGGAGAGAACAAGCCTTTGGCTCATCCATCTGAATCCCCAAGGATGCTTCTTCCATCATAAAACAAAGATGTAGAGTGTCAGCTCAGGGGTCATGTCAACAAGGGGAGCAAAGCATCTGTTGATAATCAGAATGCTGGAAAAAAATGTTACGTTTAAATCACTCACTGAAGCAAGCACTAAAGAATGCTACTGTTCCCAAAGGAGAAAACATTTTTTAAACACACCATATGCCCAAATGCCGGGAAACTGTGAGCCATTTCTAATGATCCCATTTCTTTTTTACCTTCATTTTACAGAACATTTGTGAGTGGGAGGGGAGCGAAGAACGGGTTGACTTGAAAATACTGAAGGAGGAAATGGACCACTGAGAGAACAAGGAGTTCGGAGAGGGACGCGCGCGAGTTGGCACAAAACGAATATGGTCACGAGTCACGAACGCGGGAGGGTTGGAAATGAATGGACAACATCCGAGCCGCGAGCTGAGAAGCAGAACTTCTCAGACCCGAGATGACACAGGAAGCTTAGTGCGCAGGCGTGCTATTTCCCGCCGTAGGTCAGCGGGATCAGAGGGCACTGGGTGAGGGGTTACTGCCCTGGGACAAGAATGGCTTCACGAATTCGGAATTCATTCCTAGTCCTTAAAAATCCTGCGCCAGAAGAAACCATCCGCCACTCACGGTTTAAAGGAGTACGACTTCTTCCTTTCCCAGCAGCCTGGACCGCCAGTTCCAAAAATTACCTACTTGGCGAGCGAGCCTAAACGCGCCTGCGCAACACTTCCCGCCGCACAGTTTAAAATTGCTCATGCGCACTTTAAAAAGTCCTCTGCGCATGCGCGGTTCTTGAAGCTTGCTTCTAAGAATGCGTTTCATTAGCAACTCAAAGGCGGGCGGTTCTGATCTGCTCTGCAGGAAAAAGATGGAGGAATCTCCTTCCATTTGATGTACTGCCTCTGAAAGCTTGCTGAAGAGTCAGCTAGGAGTCTGTTCCAACAATGAATGAAATCCGTTCTACCACCTAATTCATTTCTAAGACTTTGATCTTCTGCAGTGAGTGCTTCAAGTTGTTTTTTCTTTCAGGTAGTACAGTTGTGTCACCTGTGTAATGGAGGTTGTTGATGATTCAAGTTAAGAAGAGTTGAAGCATTTACTAAAGATCAAAGACTACAGACTTCAATATGAACTCAACGTCAGAAAAACACCAGAAATCTCATCACTGGGTCAATGGACAAGGCAACATCAATATGTTGTTATGTGCCGTCCACTCAACTCTATGGCTCTGAATCTTGCCCTATACTGACCCAACCTCATCATCTCACACTTGACTCCATTGCTACAGGCACTATGTCAATCCATCTTCTCGAGGGTCTTCCTCCCTTCCATCAACAATTTAATTTTACTTGGATTTACAATCAACATGCGTAGCAATAGCAGTCAAGATATGAAAAGACAGTTTGCATTGGGATAATCTGCTGTCAATGATGTCAGTTTAAAGACTAAGGTGTGCCTTATCCTAATCATGGTGTTTTTTTACTTGCCTCCTATGTAAGTGAAAACTGGACAATGAATAAGAATGATAGATGAAGAATCAATACCTTTGAAGTGTGGTATTGGAGAAAAGAACTGAATATCCGTTGTTGTTGTTGTTACATACTTTCCAGTTGCCTGTGACTCATAGCGACCCTATGTACAACAGCCCTAAATCCTGTTCTATCCCTTCCAATCGTATTGTCTCCTTCTCGCCCATCCCCATTACCCCAGTGACCTGAATCAATCTATTTCATCGAGGGTCTTCCTCTCCTGCGCTGTCCCTCCACCCTCCCAAGCATGAAATCCCTCTCCAAGCACTGATCCCGCCTTGCAACATATCCAAAGTATGTCAGACAAAGCTTCAGAATTTTTGCCTCCAAGGACCAGCCTGGTTTATTCACCCTTTCTAGGACGAACTTGTTTGTTCTCCTAGCAGTCCATGGTATATTCAATACTCTCCTCCAGCATCACAGCTTGAAGGCATCAACTCTCCTTCAGTCATCTCTAGTCATTGTCCAGCTCTCTGATGCATGGCAAGTAATTGCAAAGACAATGGCCTGGGATCATGTGCACCTCCCCTGGATGGTTAAAAGAGCAAATCTACCTTAAGGATGTTATGGCCAGAATATTGAATGATCTAGAAAGTATCAAAAAAAGACGAAAGGATTACACAGAGACATTATAACAATAAGAATTGGCTAACACAAGAGAATTTCATGAAACAGCATATGATCAAGAAGCAATGTGATGAAAGAGGAAGATCAAGCTGCCCTGGAGCAGTTGACAAAAAACAAGGCCTTAGGAATTGATAGAATACCAATAGAATATTTCAACAAACAGACTCTGCCCTGGATATGGTCACCAGGTTGTGCCAGGAAATCTGGAGGACAACTGGAAGAGATTCATATTTGTACTCATTCTGAAAAATGGTGATCCAACAGAGTGTGGAAATTATAGTACAATATCACTAATATCACACGCAATCAAAATCCTGCTGAAGAGTATCCAAAAATGACTGGAACAGTACATCAAAAGAGAACTGCTTGAAGCACAAACTGGGTTTAGAAGAGGCTGTAACACTAGGGACATGGTAGCCAATGTCAGAGGGATCTTGGCTGAAAGCAGAAAATACCAGAGCAATGTCTGTGTTTCATTGAGTATGCAAAGGGATTTGACTGTGTGATCACAACAAATTTTGGCTCATTTTAAGAAGAATGAGAATCCCAGAACACCTGATTGTGCTCATGTGAAACCTGTACTTGGACTGGGAAGCAGTCATCAAAACAGAGCAAGGAAACAATGTATGGTTCAAAATCAGGAAATGAGTATGATAGGGATGCTTCCTGTTTCCATACCTTTTCAATATATATGCAAAACAGATCATTAGATTAGACTATGAGGAGGAATGTGGCATAAGAATTGAATGAAAACTCATCAACAACCTGCGCTATGCAGATAACACAACCTTGCTCTCTGAAGAGGACCTGAAGTATTTGCTACAGTGTTCAATATGGATTGAAGCTAAACATCAAGAACACAAAGATTCTCACCACTGGGCTAATTGGAAGCATCATGATAGATGGAGAAGAGATTGAGATTGTTAATAATTTCAGCTTGTTTAGTTCCACAATCAACACTCTTGGCACCAGGAGTCAGGAAATAAAAAGATGATTTGCTCTGGGGAAATCTGCTGTCAGGGACCTCTCTAAAGTACTAAAGAGCAACAATGTCAGTGTAGAGACTAAGGGACACCTGATCCAGGCCATGGTCTTTGCAATTACTTGCTATGCATCAGAAAGCTGGACAGTGACGAAGGATGACAAAGGAAGAATCAATACCTTTGCATTATGCTGGAGAAGAGTATTGAACATTCTGTGGACTGCCAAGAGATCTGTCCTGGAGAAGGTGAAACCAAGTTGCTTCTGAAAAGTAAACATTTTGAAGCTCCATCTCACATATTTTGGGCATTGTTGACAGGAAAGACCAGTCCTTAGAGAAAGACATCATGTTTGGAAGGATGAAGGGATGGCCAACACAAGAGAGGAAGACCTTGAAAGACATGAACTGACATAGTAACTGAAGTAACAGGGCTAGGTGTGTAAGAGGCAGAGAAGTTGACTTGAGATAAGGCATGGTCAGGAGCTATTGTGCATAAGGTCACAATGCGTTGTAGTTGACTTGATGACAGATAACAACAACAACAACTTTGGAGGAAGTGCAACCAGCATGTTCTCAGAGGCAAGAATGGTGAAACTTCCTTTCATATACTTTGGGTATGTTATCAAGAAGGGCTAGTCCTTTGAAAAAGATAGCATATGGCAAAGACGGAGGATCAGAGAAAGAGAGGAAGAGTCCCAGCAAGAATTGATTGACATAGTGACTGTAATAATGGACAATGGGCTAGAACTTATTGGAAATGACGAGGATGGTGCAATGTAAGGCAAGGTTCAAATCTGTTGTTCATAGGTTAACTATGAGTTATATGTAACTCAATGGAATCTAACAATAATACCAGCATATAGTTGTTGTTGTTGCTGTTGTTGATTGTCGTCAATTCAAGCACAACTCATAGTTACTCTATGAACAAAGACCTAATGCCTTTCCATAACTATTGCAAATTCTCCAAGTTCATAGAGTTTCCAGAGGCATGTGGTTTAGGAAGTGGATGGAGAAGAGATTGAGATTGCTCCTGCTTCCAAACCTGTTTGACGACTGGGAGCTCCGCCAAACACTGTCCACATTGGGAATCCATTTTGGTATTTGATACCCCAATGGTACAAGATTCAGCATCACAGCAAAACCAGGTGACTTCATACAGCACATTGACAAGTAGTAATGTACAGAGTGGAAGAGTGTTTCTCCATATATAACAGCACTAGTTTCACTTAGCAGTAGTTAAGTGTCATCAAGTCAAAAACAACTGAGAGTAAGTTTTGCACAAAAGACCTAAATTCTGTTCAATAAGTAACATCATTTCTGTACAGAACTCTAATACCTACCATCATTTCTGTACATTTAGAGAATTTAGAGCACATAGTACCACTTTGAAATGGACTGACAATGTCATCTTAGCTATAAATGTAAAGAAATACTACAGCAAATAATTATTTTAATTTATCTTTAAAGAAGATAATTTTTTTTTTAAAAAAATCTAAAAATACCAAGTTCAGGGGTTTTGTCTTGCGCCCCTTTCCAAATAAGAAATATGTTTAAATGTTATAAAAATGATGTGTCAATATTATACAAACTATTTCACTTGTATTTTTAAAATTCTGGAATAGCATTATTAGCTTTATTTTAGAAATTAAAACATGTCGATGTCCATTATTTAAGTTTTGTTGGGTTTTTTTTTAAGATACAGCTTAACGAAGGCACATTCATGGGATTTTAAGGATGGTAGTTGTTGTTGGTTGTTTTTTATTTAAGTCTCTTGTTTAGAGCCTCCTGGAGGGCCCTTGTATTTAAAAGTTGGGCCCAAGGGATTATGTTTTAATCCCTTGTCACTATATTTTGAAGGAACATTCTCCTAAATCATACAGCACTCTGCTCAATTTGCTGTGCTGAGGTAATCTGGGTTTGCTGTGACACTGAACCTTGGGGTCTCAAATGCCATAAAGAAACAACTGTGCCAAATGTGTGGCAAACACCATAATGGCTACCAATCATGGGCAGTGTTTGGTGGAGCTCCCAGATTGATTAAAGTTTGGAAGCAGGAGTGGCATCTACTTCATAAATCACATTCCTCTGGAAACTCTATGAACTTGGAGAAATGACAATAGTTATAGAAAGGCTTCAGGCTTTTTGTTTAGATAGATAGATGAAGATAGATAGATAGATAGATAGATAGATAGATAGATAGATAGATAGATAGATAATCTTATATTTAAAAGTCAGTTGGGCCTGAAGTTGTACAGCATGCCTCCGTCAATTTTCTATACCGAGGTAATCTGGGTTTGCTATGACACTGAACCTTGTGCCATTGGGGGGAGGTTGGTCAAATGCCATAATGGCTGCTCATGGGGGACAGTATTTGGTGGAGCTCCTAGTGTAAGACAGGTTTGGAAGCAGAAGTGGCATCCACTTCCTAAACCACATGCCTCTGGAAACTCTATGAACTTGGAGAAACAATGATAGTTATAGAAAGGCTTTAGGTCTTTTGGTCATAGGGCTGCCATGAGTTGTGCTCGACTCGCTGGC